AATAGGGTAATGATATGCAACTAAGTCATACACCAACCTATAGCCATCTGTAATGGTTTTATAATGGGGTAGTGATATGTAACTAAGTCATACACCAACCTATAGCCAACTGTAATGGTTTTATAATGGGGTAGTGATATGTAACTAAGTCATACACCAACCTATAGCCAACTGTAATGGTTTTATAATGGGGTAGTGATATGTAAATAAGTCATACACCAACCTATAGTCAACTGTAATGGTTTTACAATGATGTAGTGATATGTAACTAAGTCATACACCAACCTATAGCCAATTGTGATGGTTTTATAATAGCTTAATGATATGTAACTAAGTCATACACCAACCTTTAGCCAACTGCAATGGTTTTATAATAGGGTAATAATATGTAACTATGTCATGCACCAACCTATAGCCAACTGTAATGGTTTTAGAATGGGGTAGTGATATGTAACAAAGTCATACACCAACCTATAGCCAACTGTAATGGTTTTAAAATGGGGTAGTGATATGTAACTAAGTCATACACCAGTCTATAGCCAACTGTAATGGTTTTATAATAGGGTAATGATGTGTAACTAAGTCATACACCAACCTATCGCCAACTGTAATGGTTTTATAATAGGGTATTGATGTGTAACTAAGTCATACACCAACCTATCGCCAACTTTAATGGTTTTATAATAGGGTAATGATATTTAACGTAATACACCAACCTATCGCCAACTGTAATGGTTTTATAATAGGGTATTGATGTGTAACTAAGTCATACACTAACCTATAGCCAACTGTAATGGTTTTATAATAGAGTAATGATATGTAACTTAGTCATACACCAACCTATAGCGAACTGTAATGGTTTTATAAAGAGGTAGTGATATGTAACTAAGTCATACACCAACCTATCGCCAACTTTAATGGTTTTATAATTGGGTAATGATATTTAACGTAATACACCAACCTATAGCCAACTTTAATGGTTTTATAATAGGGTAATGATATGTAACTAAGTCATATTATTGCTACTGTATTTTAATGCGAATCCAGTTTCAAATGGATCCTGAACAGTTCAAAATATAGTAAGATGTTCTGTTGTTTATAAAGCTATTCTGGTGTACGAAATGTTCCATCATTACCCTTTTATGAAACCATAGAGCCTGAACTTGATAATACTTTTGTGCACGACTTAGTTCCATACAGGATACCGTTCTAAACGTTACAAGTGTAATATATGATACAACTATATTTTATGGTACATCTTGGAATATGTGGCACAACTAACGTGTTAATGTATGTTATCTATGTCTTGGTAGAATATGGTATAATCATCGCCTTAATGTATGGTATAAAGTTTTTGTGTGGGGGATTTCTATTATTGAGAAAAACAATTTAATTTAGAGAAAAAACATGTACATAACTTAATATTTCAGTTGCTGTATCCCATCAGTTAACAAAACTACATGAATACTTATCCATTAGGGAACGAATTGAATGAAAATCACCATAAAGTATAATCACTGTTACTATCTCAAAAAAAAAAATAATTAAACAATTTAATCAGTTTGAGTGAGAATATCAGGTTTTTAAACCACGTGATATGTTGTATGTTGATTGGTCATTTTTGTTGCAATGTCAGAACTTGATCCTTTCAGTTTTGGTTGTAGTTTGTTACTGGGTCTGTCCAGGATGGGACTGATACAGTAACTACCGTACTTAAAATATCAACGATTTTATCTGTTTTATATTCAACCATCATGGTTTATTAACTTCCAGTAAACCTATTTGACTCGGAAGCTTTAGACGTGTTAAATATTACATTGTATATATAAAAAAACGACACCATTAAATTGTAATAAACTATCAGTGTCAAAATTTTGAAAACTAACGGACTAGTGTTTCTCTCTCTCGTCCTGCTCTGACGTTACAGATACGTGCTTTCCAATAGCTAATACGATCTTGTATACAAATAATATTTTTTCCGGTTTTAGTTACATGTTTATAATCTTTTTAATTCAGACCTAACACATGTATCATCTCTATTCACCAAAACCATGTATAATTTTTGTTGTTTAGTATCGAAACTTTCCCTGTTTTATTCTCTATACAGGTTTTCTTACGTCAATGGTTTTTCCTGAAAAACATCACACACACAACCAACAAAGCCGATAGTTTATAATGAAGAACAAGTCTTTTACGGGACTGTTGTATTACGGAAATGAACCAATCATAGTCCGTATCACTTCATTATTTACAGTCCATACTTCTGATTGGATATAGAAGATATATTTAAATAAAGAAGATTAACACTTATGTTTTCCTTTCCTCCATAAAGTATATTTAACTGTTGTCATAGCAACGTGTGTTTTACTTTTGATCCTATTTGTTGTGGTTATGGAAGTTAAGCTGAGTTGTTGTTGAAAAACTTTATTATAAACTTGTAAAAACTGTTATTATACTATTTTTTTATATAAATAAGTGTAATAAAACATTAATAATGTCATGTGGCTTTGTTTTGTCCACTATATCTTTCCGTTAATTTTTGGACCGGTCGTGTCCAAGTATTTTGCATGCCGGACTGTGAATTCTAGGGTTCATGGTTTACGTAATTCCCGCGTAAACATGCTTCACACTTTAGGGTCGTCGCTATAATAATGACGGGAGTTCAGAATTATGGACAACTATATACAGATAGCCCTTGTTATTTATATATAGTAATGAATGAATGATGCAACGTATCTAGAATTTTAACTTACCGTTAAATATTCTTAGAAATTTAAAAGATCAGTTGTGAGGCTCAAATGAAGAGAAAAAATACCTCCACCACACCACAAACACACACACATGTATCCGGCAAATTAATAACTACTTGGCTATAGGTTCTATAGAGAATTAAAACATATATATTCCTATAGAGAGGGGGATTTCTAACCTAAAAATTGATAAACTGACTGTTTATTATCGGGTTTCTCTTATCTTCTTTTTGTTTCTGATCTCAAACAACCTTAGAAGAATAAAAGATGTTGGAAATGATCATAATCATTTACCATTTGGTATGTCAGGCTTAGGGTCTACGATATGTAATGAACCATTAATAAATAAAGTACTTTGGAAGACACGACAGGCTTAGGGTCTACGATATGTAATGAACCATTAATAAATAAAGTACTTTGGAAGACATGTCAGGCTTAGGGTCTACGATATGTAATGAACCATTAATAAATAAAGTACTTTGGAAGACATGTCAGGCTTAGGGTCTACGATATGTAATGAACCATTAATAAATAAAGTACTTTGGAAGACATGTCAGGCTTATTTTCGGTCAAATTTAAATGAACACTTAACTTCACACGTCATAAAATGTTTCTTCACACAAGTAACTAGAGAAATTTTGAAATTATATAAATAGTATTTTTAATTATTAAACATACTCATAGATTGATCATGTGGAAATAGTTTTATTTACAAATTACTCTTACAAATCTTCTTTGTATTAACTATTGTCTATTAACTAGTTTTATTTAGCAGTAAACTATTAACTTATTACTATCGATTATTTTTCTTACTGAACACTAGGGACTAGAATCTAACTGTTTAAGGTATGATTTTTAATATTGTAATTTGTTTGTTAGTGAGAGGGAGCTGCGGGTCGTTAATGTTGACGTTAAGATAGGGCTAGAGTGCTCTAAGGTTTAAGTAACATGTGATCTTGTACATTCGAAGATAGATTATGAATACGAAAAAGTGCGTAGAGTAGAATGAATCAGTCACTCTGTAAAATATTTGTAGCTGTTCTTAGCAATCGCCCTTACTGTACACGTACATTGACTTTACGT